AGATACTTAGATAAAAAAATAAAAAATAAAAGGAACTCATTCCTCGCATCCATCGGCTTCCAGCTTCTGGTCCTTTTCTTCCTTTATCTCTCCTTCCTCTTCAGGGTCGGCATCTTGCCCATCTGCCTGGTCTGCCCATTCAGAAGACTTGGCCCTTTCAGACTCTTTCTCCTGTTCGGCCTCATGAAGAGACTTGGCCTTCTCAGAATCTGTCTGCCAAACCATCCACAGAAGACGGGATACCGCTCGTGACTTCCAAGAAGAACTCTGGACCCGGAACTTCAAGCTCCTCAGCTGTGAAGCTAACTTCCTCGAAGGCATCCTGCTGTGCCTTGCTGTCAGCAATCATCTTCTCCACATTTTCGTCCACTAAGGCTGGGAAGTTGTAGCCTTGTTTACGGACGATATTGAGAGCCCTCTTTGCACCGACCCACTAAGCTGCGGTCGAGAGTAGCTCTTCGGCCTTCTCTTTCCGAGAAAGACACTCCTTTACCTTTACCACCAGACCGGCATAATGGTTATCCACCTTGGAAGCTATGCGTTTGACCGTCTCTTGGCCGAAGATAATCGTCTCTTCATAGGCCGCTTTCAGCTCGGCCTCAAGTTTTTCCTGGGCTTTTGCCCTTTCCTTTGTAATCTGCTTCATGGCTCGACTGAGAAGTTTGATCTTCTCGGAATTATCAGCGCGAGCCTTCGCGAGCTCATTGGAAGACCCTTGAAACGCAGTCTCCATCTCAACGTTCTTTTTCCTCTCGGCCTCGAGAGCTTCCTTAACAGCTTCTCTCTCAGCTTGATCGGCTTGACACCTTTTTGGCATTGCGATCATATTCGCGCATTACAGTCAGTGCGGTGCTAAGAGCCTGCACGAAAACAAGTTTTATCTCTAAGGATCAGTCTGGAATTTACATTATGGAATGAAGAAGCGGATCATTTTGGATGTTTTACCTTGGCTTGATCGGTAACGAAGCGCGCAATCGCTTCGCTGCGGATTAAGCTTCGGGGATCAGTTAGAGGTAGAGCCGAGTGATCCCTTAGTCGGAGGAAGTAATCCAGGCAGGATACAAGATCATTCACCAACGTCCACTTCCTCGATAGTCGTATGAAGACCCAAACGGGCGAAGCTCCCGTTTGACGCGAGGCCTTTTTGACCTCTGTGAGTCCTCGTGCATTTTGTTCGGACCCCTTTTACTCGAGCTAGTGGGACCATCTTCCCCACTAGCCTCGTCCGCTCCAACCTCTTTATCTTACGCATCTTCACCTCTGCGCTCTTCCAGCTCGACCTTCTTCCGAGCTTTCTCTGTCTTCTTGGCAGCCCTTTTATCGGCTACCTTCTTGGCCTTAGCCGATTCTTTCTCAGCCTTCTTATCGGCCGCTTGTTTATCCCTGGCCAAATCTTCCTCGGGGCCATCCTTCGATACTTTGGGCATCTCGCGCCCCTCCGGTGGCACAATTGGCCTAGGATTTATCGATTCCTTGGCACCAGGAGATCCAAAAACAGACTCCAGGTCGGCTGATAGGTCCTTGAACGAGCGTGACTTCATCTTCTCAGGTCGGCTCTGGCGTTATAATAAGGCGGCTGAAACACAGTAAAGGAACTTCAGCCAACCAAGCATGTTAAACTGTCATCTCGACTTAATGAACCGAACTAACCTCTTGTTCTTGCAATCTTTTTCTCCGTGATCTCTGGCCACGTGATCGTACTAATCATCGAGAACAGCTCGGAGATGTCATAAATATCAAGAGGATTGTCAACAATAGGGAGAGGCCTGTTTCCTGCAAAGACAAATGACAAGTTGGTTAGCAATCAAAAATAATGAAAGCACTTTATATTTCATATCGGTCAAATCTCTACGCATAACCTCCGCCTATTTCGTTCGAATCGGGATGTCCTACCCAGCTATGGAGAACATGTTTATCAAAACGAAGAAGTACCGGTCTCGCCAATCAGCAAATTTAGACTTTTGGCCCCCGGTTACTATGTTAAACCTAGTTTTCATACTCGTGTAGTACGAACCCCGATTCCTTAGATTCGCCTTTGTCCTCCTAATGTTTGTCATCGCGTCAAATGCAGCCCGGCTCAAAGGGATATCATGCCGGATAGCATCGCTAGCATACTCACCACTAAGCGAAATGTGGAGTGGGAGAACTGGGATATCGGTATCTCTTTGTGGTCGGCGAATTCCAGCAACAGCCTTGGGAGAGGGAACCAAAGATGGAAATTCGGAGCGTCCAATGACCGTACAGATGGGCTCGGGACCATAAATATGACTTCGGAGCCGATATTGCACTCCTCTTTCAGCGTGACTAAGGACTTCATAGTTGACTTGGTCAGCATAATTCCGAGCGCGTTATCACATATCGGCTTGGCTATCTTCTTCCCCTTTCGCCTCTTTGTCTTCCTTACGGGGGGTTCATATCGATGATGCCGAACTGATTGACCTCATCTTCAACGACGATTGCGTTCAACTCGTCTGAGATATCCATCTAATTCAATCCGCCTCTCTCGTCGGATTCATCACGCAGCTCAGGAATTTCAAATTCCACTCTTGCGGACGTCTCTCCGGTTCTGAGAATGGCCCTGACCTGGTCGGCATGGATTCTGTGAGCCGCTGCTTTCTGATTTTTCTCTGTGACCCGTTCCTGGTAGGCCCGATCTAGCATAGAAAGATCACTCGCATCTGAAGACCGATCCGATCCTGACTGACTGTCAACGACTTCTTTCCTTTTAGATTGACCTCTTACAACCTGGTCGACGCGAGACATCTCTAAGAATTCCTCTAAGGAGACGCCGATCTCTTTGGCTTTCGCTTGAGCCGACCTGTTTTTTCTTGATTCAGATCAGCCTTCTCTAATTTTCAGACTCTTACTCATCGTAGATCAAACTTAAACGGCGGCTTCAAGCATATCAGAGAAATCTCACGGTGGAAATCGAACGAAATGCGATGGAGGTTTGTTCAGAAAATCTAAAAAACAAAGAACAAAGAAGAGAGAGTAGAGAGCAAACCTTTTGACTAAGTTCGCTAAAATGCAGAAGTAAAAATTTATGAGCCGCCTCTCCTATTTATACAGAAATGTGGACGGTTATCGAGAGTCATCATGACTTTGGCGACTGTTCGCATTTCTTCTCATTTTATTTAAATCGGCCTCTTCGCTTTCCTCCTCTATCGTTTGACACGTGTCAAGCCTAGTTTTGCATGCGCAGACCTAGCCTAGTCTAATCTATTTTTGGCAGGAACTCTTGGCGCCCAGTTGAGATCTGACATCTTCTCGTTACCGATTTGAACTCAAGGTAAATTTGTGTTTTATATTCTAACTTATGCAGTGGCCGACCTCATTTCATGTCGAGCTACTTCTCTTAAAATTCACCAAGTCTCGCACCCTCACTTGCCGAACTGGGGAGGAGGAGGGGCTTACTGTTAGAGATGAGATTCGTACCATCTCTAAAAACCCGACATGAACCCTGGTCGGCTCATTTTGGCAACTTAGAGAATATTCAGGTCGGCTAGACAAAAGGATATTCTCCATTTATCGGTCTAATCTGGAAAATTCGGAAGATTGGTCTTATCAGCCAGGAAGTTTTCCTATTTCGGATATACGAAGTTATGTCCAGAAGACCGACCTGATTGGGTATAAATATAGGAAGCTATCAGCTTCACAAATCATCAGAAAAAACCTTTCTCGAGACCTAGAGCAAACTAAGCGATCTAACTGTTCTAGTTCTTGATTTTATTCCTATAAGTTGTTTAGGTCGGCGTTTTTATTCCGACGACCTAAACCACCGTGTATCTCTCAAGCTTCGGCTAAATCTTAATAAAAATCTTTCTTTAAACCTACAAACTCTTGTTTAATCTTTAGATCGGATTTGAGTTATCACACCAACTATATGATTACTAGTGTCTAGGTTTATGTGTGTTGATAAATGTGATATAATCATATAAATGCTAAGTATATTTCAGTGGGTAGAGATGATGTCCCTCATTGAAAAATTCATTACTCACCCCTTTTTCCTTTTCAGTTGTGCATGTTATTAAGGTTAAAACGTAAGACTAAGGACTCAATAGGAAAAGTTTTTTAAAAAAGTTTTCAAAAGGTACTAAATGTCTTGACTAAATTAGTCGGGTCAAAAGATACTAAATTTCTCGACTAAATTAGTCGAATCAAAAGATACTGAATTTTTTCGACTAAGTTAGTCAGATCAGAACCTCATAATTTTTTTATGAATACATAAGAAGGATGAGAATTATTTAGTCACTTAGATTTTTGAAAAAAATAAAAATAAAAATAAAAAATATAAATAGTGGTAATTTTGTAAATAAAAATTGAGAGAAAATAGTTACTATTAAAATTGGTAATAAATGTGAGTTAATCTAACAGTACACTAGAATTCATAGATTATATTTGCAAGTTCCTCTATTTTTGTGTGGAATTATATGTTAAATTAATTTAAGAATTTTGTTGTGTAACTTAAATTTGAGTTTTGAAGAAAAGATAGAACAAAAAGTGGTATTCTATTTTGAAATTTTGACCTTTAAAATATTTTAAGCATAAATTTTGAATTATAGTGGATCTATTTACAATTTTAATTGAGTAACACTATTTTATAAAAATTTAATTATAATTTCAAGTAATTAGTTGAATAACATTGGATTATAAATTAGTTTGAATTCCGTTAAAATCTATGATTAAATAAAATAACCCTAATAATCCAGGTTTGGTTTTAAAAATAAATTGTAATTAAACAAGATTATTAGAGACAACGGAAACAAAGGAAAAAGGAAATTTTGATAAAAAGAAAGTCAAGGGAAAAAAGGAAAGTCTACATCACTAAACCGTTGAACGCTACCGCCTATATAATAGACACACTCAACTGTGCAATCTCAGGTTACGCTTGTTATTTTTTTACAAAATATCAAGATCAAGATCAGTCTCTGATTACGCTTGTTATTGTTTCAACAATGATGAAAAACCGCGAGATCTGGCTTTTTAACCAAAGAGAGGAGATGAATTCGATTCGGGAAGGCCTAAAATCTGCACAATTCATCGCTATTGACACGGAATATCCAGGTTGTCTAAAAGAGACAACGATGGCGGCGAGCGATGAAACCCGATACGAAAACATGAGGTTTAACGTCGACAGAACCAAACCAATTCAGTTGGGTTTCACGCTATTCGACAGCGTCGGAGGAATCCACGGTACCTGGGAAGTAAACTTCTCGGATTTCGACGAAACAAAGGACGCAAACAACGAGAAATCGCTCGACTTTCTTAGACGCAACGGTCTTGATTTGAAGAAAATCAGAGAGGAAGGAATCGCGATCAGTGACTTCTTCGGAGAATTTTCTCAGATTCTCAAAGAGGAGGATAAGCACATGACTTGGGTCACCTTCGACGGCTCATACGACTTGGCTTATCTACTTCAAGGCATGACCGGAGGAAAACCTATGCCGGAGACTTCTAAAGATTTCGAAGAAACGGTTCAGAGACGTCTAGGGAAAACTTACGACGTGAGGAAGATGGCTGGAATGTGCAAAGGACTGAATAGCCGTTTCGGGCTGCAGAGAATAGCCGACGAGCTTCAGATCAAGCGTGTCGGAGAAGCACATCACGCTGGTTCCGACAGTGAGCTCACATCTCGAGTGTTCACCGACATGACTTTGAGAATATCTCGGGACCAAAAGAGAAAGCGGGACCAGTATCAACTGGATCGACACCGTGGCTACCTCGCTGTAAAGGAATTGGAACAAGCGCTTATGATGGAGAGACGTATGCGAAGGTGTTATGTACCGATACAGCCACCAAGACCTCTCATGTTTCCTCCTTACCCATCTTACGGTGGTGGCTGCTTTGTTGTGCCCTTCACACGGAGATTCCCAAACTATGTGTGATCAATGTCAAAAGACTTGACAAGCAAGGAAACATTGTTCTTCTCTACGTTTATGCAACTACTGTATATGTATATTTTTGTTTTTGTCAAATCTTTCCTTTCAATGAATATATTAATCTTTCATATTAGCAGCTTCTGTTTTCGAGTACAATGTGCAACACGATCTTTCTAGTAACTCATAACCTCAGAGACAATGCACACAACTCTAATAGTAGAGGCTCAAACTCTAAGCAAAAAGATGACTGCAACATTCTATTAGCTGACAACATAACAGGAAACAGAAGCTTATAAGAAGTTGAAATTGCCAGGATGGATAATGTAACCACAAAACAAGATTCAGATTTATATTATTTTTACTGTTGAATAACAATGAATGATCAGTTCAAACTAAAAAAGGAAAAGAAAACAGAATCTACTCAAATTCTCGTATTCTTCGCTATGGAATTGGTATCTATCATTTTCTCTGAAGTAAGCAGGAAAAGTTACCTCAGCGACAGTGATCAAGTGTGATCCATTTAGACTCGCCATACTTGTTCATCAAGTAGAATAAAAAAGTAACAATGTGGCTTCTTGGATCTTCACCTTTATATCTGCTCGTAGAAAAGTCCTACTGCATCCACAATATAACAAGTGTTGATCAATTTTAATGGAAAGGCAACTTTCACGAACAAAGACAAGTAGGGGAATAAAGTTAACAGCGCAAATTTCTTATTTAATTTTGGAATCTATGAAAAGAAGTGAAACATTTTTTTAGTACCAGTTGTTGAGTTGTCGTGCTCAGAATGCCACACTTTTCTTCTCCAAAGTTCTGCTTTGTAGGCTCTGATTTTGCTTGGCACCAGAACTAACTTCTGAAAGTATTGACATAATATCTAGTTTTCTCACCTATATGAAACGCAACATTATAGCTACATATAAAGCAAACGTGTTGGAACTTATACGTAGATAGACCATGAAGAGGCGAGGAACTGTTAGCTGCAATTGATGAAGCTGAAGAACTTACTTTGCAAATTTCAACCTCTGCGAGCCACTTGGTAAGATGACTGAACAACGAGCATATTCCCCTTGGAGATTCTAAGATTGTGTAACAAAAGGCAGGGTCCTTCATCTCATATGTAACTTCCCCCTTCATCTACAATGGTTTTAAAGGACATATCAACGAACAAGATCTTGAAAAGTATATACCTTTACACACAACATCGTCAACAGGAAGATCCATTAACGTTATGAGTTCGTGGAACAAACAAATGAAACATGATCCATTTTTTGTTTACTTTTCCGCCAGTTAAGTTGTATTCAATTTTCTCAGTAAAGCCTACATCAACAATCAATAGAGAGAAACAAACTTTATCACCAAACAATACTAATTATCTCTTCTATATCATACTAGACTCATATTCGTGAAGATAATTCACGTGTTCATCAGTTTTGTTCATTCATATCATCATATGTCCTTCTGCTCTGTGGACTTAAGTTTCTTCTTCATTTTCAATGCACGCTAATTAATCATGGTTCCTGTGTTTGTTAAATATGCTAATGAAGATGAAATGAGACTTGGGAAAATCTGGTACTAAGCCACAGATTCATATTGGCGAGAAAAGTGTATCAACCTTCAGAGTTTGAATCTCAGTCAAGACATCTGTTGTTGCAAGACCTACGCTAGAGGCCACCGCTGGTATATCGAAGACATGTAAACCCTTGCTTCACGTGAGACCTGAGAAAAGCAGAAAATATTTCAACCATTGCTACAACTATAATACTTTTTCAGAATCGCACATATAGCATAGCACTGTTCTGAGCATCAAAAGCTTCGAGCATACACCACAAAGAACATGAATGTATTTAGCTACTAGATTCACTACCTTGTGGAAATTCAGAGTCCAGCATACGTTAAGCTGAGGAAGCATACGTAGGTATTGCACTTCCCCCATGTGTAAGGGTGTATGGAAATCAATGAACTTATTTCTCACCACTTTAATCTTGTTTGGAGCAAAATGACTCCTGTATGCGAACACGGTCGAGCTAAGCTTGAATAGAGTGTAATTAGCCATAGATAATGGTATATTCGGAGATTTTAAAATGGAAACAACCTTCGCATTGACGTTGTTGTCGCGTAAATACTAAGTCTCATACTGCGCAAACCCATCCCACAGTTGCTTAAGTTAGCATAATGCATGATCAAAACAGTTTAAGGTATTTTGTAAAGTATGAAAAAAGGCGTTGATGATTAAATAAGTACTCTCACCTGAAATTCGCAGTACACAATGATGCTCCGAATCTTGTTATATGGATGAGACTCCATCTTTCAATCTGTTAAGATTTCAGATTTCAATCAGTTACAACTAGAGGAAGAAACACAAAAGGTGAAAATATAAACAAAGGACTCAATGAGACACACAGCTCAAATTTGTCTCTAAGTTGTGACTTCTGAATAAGATTGGTTTGACGGTATCTCTAGTGCAGACATGACAGCCTGAAGAGTCATAGTAGTGGCGGTTGCAGTCATTGCGAGAATGCAATCTGCCTTGAGTCTCGTGTATGAAGACCTGTTTTTAGAATAGCTCTTAAAAACAAAACAGAACAAGGAAAAATAATCTACCAAATGCCAAGAAGCTCACCATTCTGATACACAGTGTGCCTCATCCACAACGACAAGTGACACAGAAAAAGACTTGCGAAAAACATTGACAGAAACTCTACATTCAGAAGTCTCTCAGGACTTTATCAAGCAGCCTTATGAAAAGTAAGCCGTACAAAACTTTCTTCTAGAACAAACCTTTATGAAGCCTTCTTTAAGTTTCCGCAGTGTTTCTGTTGATTCCTCAGGTCTCTAATGACGCAAATTCCCAAAACAGACTCAATTAGAAAACTTTTAAAGACTAATAGAATGACTTAAAAAAACAAAGAACAGGCAACAAACAGCATTCTGTGGCACACACCTGGCTACCAAAAGACTCACTACAAGTGTGATTCCCGGAAGAACCATTGCCAGAATCTGGTAGAAGAGAGACTTACCGGAACCATCGTTGAGCTCCCAGCAAGAACCATCTTGATCGCCTGCAACTGCCCATCTCGGAAAGAGTCATAACCATTAGCTTCTTCTTCTTCTCTCTGTTTCTGCAAATCAGACTCTTCCTCCAACAAGGATTCGCCTTATGACTTTTTTTGTATCTCTTCCCTCTGTGTTCGCCATTTTAAGTTCAGTTTCACGAAATTACTCTCCTCACCGCCACTACGAAACACCACCTGAGCTTTCACCGGCGGAGAAGTTACAGAATCCGTGATGAGATTAGGAGGCTTTCTCCTAACGGGTTTTGGTTTTGGAGGAACGATTGTTGACGGCATCGGATTGACATCCCGGTTTCGATTTCTCTTCAGATGTGGGAGAAGCTCTGCGGAGTCTATTGAAGGACGGAGCAGAAGAGGAAAACCCAGCGGGTTTGGTGAACAATGACGGTGGAGGAGAAGAGGGAGATGGTCCTGGAGCTTCCTGAGAGTGATCCGGAGTCTGCGGCAGTATAGGTGCTTTATGCTTCGATCAGAGGAAGACAACGCAATTTTCCGGGCGACCGGCGGCACTTGCCTTGCTTACGGTGGATTCATCGAAATTGAGAATTTGGGGTTTAAGTGTCTTTACCCCTCTTCCGCGTCTTCCCGCCATTGTTTCTCATTTTCCGTCTGAAACACTTTTACCCTCACAAAAGTATTGATAGAAACTAAAATTATAGTTTTTTCCTTATAAATTATTATAACGACAGTCGATTGGACTGATAAAACACTTTTGTAGTCGAATGTCAAATCGGATATTACAATCGATTGGACTGATAAATTATTATAACGACAGTAATTAACCATTCGGACAGTTATTAGAGAGTGATAATTTGACGTGACGCTGATATGCCGAAAAGAGTATATGTGACAAGAAGGAAGAAGAATAAAGAAGATAACGTGGCTACTTCAGGCGCGTAATTCTGTTATATTCAATTTGTTGGTTTAGTTCGGTTTGGATTGTTGATTTAGTTGATTTGTACTCGGTACAGTATATAAGTAACCGAGAGTTGATTGTATAGGATTCATTCAGAGAGTGAGAGAGAGAAAGAGCTCGTCTCTAAGAATTGTTCGGAGACAGAGATTGGGGTTGCTTTCAAGATCATACTCTTGGGCGTGTAATCTCTTGTTCATATCAATAAAAGAGGTTTGTTCATATCAAATTGGTGACGGTGAGCGCTCTGGATCGAACAATCGCGAGGTTTTCAGCCGCAATGACGAAGAAAAATCAAGGCGAAGAAGCGATAGTACAGGTCATGCTAGAATCTTTAGCAAAATCCTTGCAATCGGCGATTACATCACAGTTGACGATGGAGAAAGAGGCTCGGGCGCGATTTGAGAGCTTAGAAGAAAAGTTCGGTTCGATTATGTCGGCGTTGGAGCGCGGAGCGACGAATCGACAGAACACGACGAACGAGGCCAATAGATCCATTCCGATATCGCGAAAAGAACAGGTATGTTCTCTTGACCAGGAACCTTGCCGTAGTCCTAGGCCAGAGGAGGTTAGGGTTCGGAGAGTCTTGGAAAACAGCAGAGAAGGATTGTTGAGAAAAGTGGAACTTCCGACGTTCTTGGGTGAGGATGCGTACGGATGGATCGCACTTGCGGAACGATTCTTTCAGATCGGAGGTTATGATAATTTTGGAAAACTCGATCTGGTTTCCGTAAGTCTAGCGGGTGATGTTCTAAGCTGGTTCAACAGCGAGATGCATCGACGGCCATTTGGTTGTTGGAAGGAGTTCAAAGACCGACTGATTGCGCGTTTCAGTAAAGAGAAATTACGGGATCCGAGTCAACCTTTCTTCAGAGTGACACAGACTGGTTCAGTGGCTGAGTACATACATCTCTTTGAGGATCTGTCGACTCAAGCTTGTGGTTTGTCGGATGCTCAGAGGGAAAGCGTCTTTATGAATGGGTTGAAACCGGAAATGCAGGAGGTAGTGAATATGTGCAAACCGGTTAATCTTGAGGAAATGATCTCGTTGGCATATCAGATGGAGTCAAGCACACTTTATAGAGTGGTGAGCAAGGAAAGACAACAGACTCTTAAGTCTAATCAAGGAAATGGAGTTACAGTTAATAAATCGTATTCGAGTTACCCATCTAACAACACCTGGAAGATGAGAATGAATTCAGGGGTTAGTAATCAGATTGCTCCATCACAACAACGAGGGGGATTCCCTAGACCTCAAATCCGTTTAACTCCAGAAGAAGTAGCAGAGAAGAAGCGTTTGGGGATATGTTTCTATTGCCCGGAGAAGTTTACAAGGCAACATAAATGCCCGAATGTGTCATGTCAAGTGTTGACCATGCTAAATGGTATAGAAGTGGAGATTGTTAATCAAGAGGAAGAAACGGTTGATGAAGAAGTAATCGTGTGGACACCTGAGCTAACAGCGTTGTCGCTCAATTCCTTCTTGGGGTTACCTTCTCCAACTACAACAAAAGTAAAAGGCTGTTTGAAGAAGCAATCTGTTGTAGTGATGTTAGATAGTGGTGCAACACACAACTTTATCACACCGGACATGGCAAAGCGAGTAAAACTGAAACCTGATAAGTCCTTTCAATCGTAAGTGCTGCTAGGGACTGGCGTTTCGGTTCATGGCTCGGGAGTGTGTAGAAATGTTCAGCTAACTCTGCAGGACATTCAGATTACAACAGACTTCATCGTGCTGGAGCTGGGAAATGCCGATGTAATCTTGGGAGTACAATGGTTACGAACACTTGGGAAGTGTATGGTGGATTGGGAAAATCATGAGCTAACGTTTCTGCATAAAGGAAGATATGTGACACTGAAAGGAGATCCTTCACTCCACGAATCAGCGATGTCACTTAAATCCTTGAAGTACAAACCAGAAGAGAAGAATCAGAGGATTGTACTAAGTAACACAGAAGTTAGTCATGAGGTTACAGAACTCATTCTCATGTTGATTACCCAGACCTTAGTTGCCTTTGAGAAAGTGTTTGAGAAACCTACGGGGTTACCACCAATACGCGGCAGTGAACATGGGATCAACTTGCAACAGGGTATGGGACCTATCAGTGTAAGGCCATACAGATATCCTCATGCACATAAAGAGGCTATAGAGAAGTTGGTTCAAGAAATATTATGTGAAGGGTTGATTCGACCAAGCCACAGTCCTTACTCGAGCTCCGTATTGTTGGTTAAGAAGAAGGATAAGTCATGGAGATTTTGCGTTGATTATAGAGCACTAAACCGAGCCACGGTACCAGATAAGTACCCAATTCTGATGATAGATCAGTTGCTTGATGAGCTTTTTGGGGCTAAACTGTTCTCAAAATTGGACCTACGCTCGGGATATCATCAGATAAGAATGAAGGAACACGACATTGAAAAGACAGCCTTTCGCACCCATGAAAACCACTATGAATTTTTGGTTATGCCTTTCGGGTTAACCAACGCTCCAGCTACTTTTCAGGCGTTGATGAATAAAGTGTTTCAGCCGTATCTCAGGAAGTTTGTATTGGTATTTTTTGATGATATACTGGTCTACAGCAACAATCTCCAAGACCACATCAAACACTTGAAGTTGGTGTTAAAAGTGTTTGCCGAGCAAAAGCTATTTGCTAATAAGAAGAAGTGCTCCTTCGCTCAAAACCAAATCGAGTATTTGGGACATGTGATTTCACAAAAGGGGGTCTCTACGGATGCACAAAAGATAGCAGCAGTTAAGCAGTGGCCAACACCGAAATCTGTGAAAGAGTTGAGAGGGTTTTTAGGTCTTACAGGCTACTATCGACAATTTGTGCATCACTACGGGTTGTTAGCTAAACCATTGACGGAACTGTTGAAGAAAGAACAGTTTATGTGGACTCCAGAAACTCAGAAAGCTTTTGATCAACTCAAAGAGGCTATGATCTCAGCTCCGGTTTTGGCATTACCGGATTTTTCCAAGTTGTTTATAGTGAAATCAGATGCATCAGGGTATGGTTTGGGAGCGGTGTTAATGCAAGATAGACACCCTATCGCTTATTTTAGCTACGGCTTATCTGACAAAGAGCAGCAGAAACCCATTTACGAAAGGGAATTGATGGCAATAGTTATATCGATTCAAAAGTGGCGACATTACTTGTTGGGAAGAAGATTTGTGGTAAGGACGGATCAACAGAGCCTCAAATACCTGTTAGAACAACGAGAAGTGACCTTGGATTATCAGCGTTGGCTAACTCGTATTTTGGGATATGAATTTGACATTGAATACAAGGTGGGCAGTGAAAACAAAGTGGCTGATGGGTTATCTCGGATTTCAACAACTCAACCTTCGATGTCATCATGGCTGTTGTCAATGACAATGCCAACAACATTGCAACTTCAGGATCTATTCAAAGAGATCGATGAAGATATCGAGATTCAGGAGGTTCATAAGAAGCTTGAGAAAGGAGAAGAGGTTAAAACAGGATACTCTGTGGTCAATGGAAGACTGTTTTACAAACGGAGATTGGTGATCCCTCGTAACTCCAAGCACATTCCTCTGATATTACAAGAGAATCATGACAGCGTGCTAGGGGGCCATTCCGGGATTCTCAAAACTCTACAGAGGATTCAGTCTACTTTTTACTGGAGCCACATGAGGAAACGGGTTCAGAAGTATGTCTCCGACTGTGCTATTTGTCAGACTCACAAATACTCGACTCTTTCTCCTGCTGGGTTGCTACAACCAATCCCATTACCTGAACAGATTTGGGAGGATTTGTCAATGGACTTCATCGAAGGGTTGCCATTATCTCAAGGAGTTAATGTGATTTTGGTTGTGGTGGATCGTCTCAGTAAATACGGACACTTCATCACACTAAAACACCCATTCACGGCTGTAGAAGTGTTCCAGAAGTTTGTAAAGGAAGTGATACGCTTACACGGGTACCCCAAATCTATAATCTCGGATCGGGATAAAATTTTTCTAAGCAACTTTTGGCGCGAGTGTTTCCGTTTGTCAGGTACTAAGCTACGCTTCAGCACAGCTTTTCACCCTCAGTCCGATGGCCAAACGGAAGTTCTAAATCGCTGCTTAGAAACATACTTATGCTGCTTTGCGTCGACACATCCGAAAACATGGTCTAAGTTCCTTCCGTGGGCTGAATTGTGGTATAACACTTCGTATCATACGTCAACTCATACCACTCCTTTCAAGGTTGTTTATGGCAGAGATCCTCCTACGTTACTGCGGTTTGAGAATGGGTGCACGCAGAACTTTGAGCTGGAAACTCTGTTGAAGGAACGTGATATGATTTTATCGGATATGAAGGAGCATTTAACCAGAGCGCAAGACGTGATGAAGAACAATGCTGATAAACAACGCCGGGAATTGGAGTTCTGTGTTGGTCAAAGAGTATATTTGAAACTGAGACCATATCGGCAACAATCTGTAAGAAGACGTTTATGTCAGAAGCTAGCAGCTCGTTATTATGGACCTTATGAGGTGCTGGAACGCGTTGGAAACGTCGCTTATCGGCTGCGTTTACCAGAGTCATCAAAAATTCATCCGGTTTTTCATGTCTCTCAGTTAAAATTGGTGATTGGTGAGAATCAAACAGTGTTGCCTCTTCCGTTATCAGTTTCAGTGGATGATGAAGTGGTTATCGAGCCAGAGGAAATCATGGATACTCGTTATGATGAACAAGGATACATGGAGTTGCTGATTAAGTGGAAAGGACTCCTGGACCATGAGACTTCTTGGCTTAGGTTGGGTGAGCTGAAGCAACAGTTTCCCACATTTCCGCTTGAGGACAAGCTCAGTCTTCATACGGGGGGTATTGATATGCCGAAGAGAGTATATGTGACAAGAAGGAAGAAGAATAAAGAAGATAACGTGGCTACTTCAGGCGCGTAATTCTGTTATATTCGATTTGTTGGTTTAGTCCGGTTTGGATTGTTGATTCAGTTGGTTTGTACTCGGTACAGTATATAAGTAACCGAGAGTTGATTGTATAGGATTCATTCAGAGAGTGAGAGAGAGAAAGGGCTCGTCTCTGAGAATTGTTCGGAGACAGAGATTGGGGTTGCTTTCAAGATCATACTCTTGGGCGTGTAATCTCTTGCTCATATCAATAAAAGAGGTTTGTTCATATCAGACGCTCAACATAAATATATCTGGGTGTGAGTTTTACATATTAGTCTTTAAAATATTTCTAGATCCGACTCAACCCGAACTGACCCAAAAAAAAAACTGAAATTTTGACCTGCAAACCTAATATGTGCTGTCAGATAAATCCATCCAGTTTCTAATCTGCTTGTCAATGAAACGAAGAAGGCTCAAAGGAGTAGTAGGGACTTCTCCATCTCGCTTTGCGTTTCTCTCTCGCAGCATAGACTGTACACTGTTATCTGAATACATAGCGAGTAAGAAAACTCTAATCTAGTTTCTCTTTCTAGTTTCTTACCCGCTATGTAGTCAAGTTCTAGGGAGTACTCTCTACCGAAAAGATTGAACCGAGGAGGTGGGGTTGCCAACACTTCTAGGGAGTATTCTAGTTCATCTAAAGAAGAGTATGGTGAAGTAAAAATCAATGCAGGCAAAATGATGTTCCTCGATAACTTTTGTGACCAAGATTAAGCAAGAGGTTAACGTTGAAGCGGAAAATGTTCAAAAATGCATCAATACTAATAGTTTTTTTTTTTTGGAAAAGAGGCGATTACGGAAGCAATGAATCTTGAAAATATGTTGAGACGGTATTAAAGAGAGGATTGTTGCGAGATTGTTTGCAGGAATTGGGGGAAAAAATGTGGATGAAACAAATCTTTTGTTGAGTTTATGTAGAAGTTACAAGCTACAAGCAGTAGTTGCTTACTTAGTAGAGATTATTGGTTCTTGTATTTTGATGGATTTATAAATTTTTTTTAGATTTGATAAATTTATTAATTTCAAAATCAGCAAAATAGAAAAAAATCAAATCCACTCAAATACCAAGGTTAGACCTTGTATTTAGGTTTTTGTATTTTAGTCATAAAAATCCTTCCAAATCCATTCAAATTCAATTAAAACTCAAATCCTTATAATATTTAGATTCTAAAATGATAGAATCAATAACATTGTATTTCATTATGGATTTTAAAATCATAGAACCAATAACACTGTATTTCAATATAAATTTTAAAATACAAGAACCAATAACATTGAATTTGGTTTGAATTCTCAAATCCATTAAAATACAAGAACCAATAATACCTCTTTATATATATCTGATTTAGTATTGCTTTTGGTTTGGTATTTGTAACTTGACATATTTAAATTTCAATAATGACCAATTCAAGCTAAAGAGAAGATTATTATTTTTGAGATCCAAATGTTACACTTACTCAATGAATCCTCATGGACTTGCACACATTTTGGACTGAAACAAGAAAAAGAAAAAAAAAAGAGTTTATTGCATAAGCCAGCTTAAGATTCTTTCACTCACCAGTTTTAAACCACACCGTAGTACTAAATTTCTAAACCATGTATGCACAAGGGACTAAGCATAGGATCAACCTATATGAAATGACTTAAATGCCCTTTGAACCAGGTACATCGATCCACTCGAGCTGTAGCTCAACTTCTCCACACTCCACGTGATGAAGTCTAAGGAACATATTCTGAACAAGCTTGCCTTGGTTCCACACGATATGGCTCTCTTCAGAGAAAGAGTTTTGTCTGGTCGGCTGTATCTTCATTATTATGGTTCCATTAGGAAGTCCTCCTTCAAGCTTATGGCGGATTTTAATGGCTTCAATATATGTAGCAATGTTAAACTCTGCTTCTCCCATCATATCATCCGCAGAGAACAAATCCTTGTCGTAAACCGTCTGTGTCATAAACAAGAATGTTACAATTCTCTAGTGAAATTTAAAGTTATTCTAGTTTTAATGTTAGGATGATCACTTACAAGTTTAATAGGGAGATTTGGATCAGTCACAGAAAGAGTCAAATCATCGTTCCACTCAGGGTTTATACAGTGTTTGATCACCCGGGTTTTCAGTTTCTGCATCAAATAAACAAAAAATGTCACAAAGCAGAAGATTTGGGACTAAACTATATCATTAAGTAAATAATCAAGAACAAGAACTTTTTGATTGAAATTAAGGCAAGTCAATACTCAAAAGACGACACAAGCCATCATTTCAATCAATTTCATGGGCTGGAAACAGAGGACTGATGATGACATATAGAGAATAGAGAAAGAAAAATTGTGGCTTAGAGTAAAACACAACCAATATTCTAGTTTCATAATTCAATAGATCATTTGGTACAAAGGACCCACAAATATGAACAAAATCATAATAAGTCTTATTCTCCATTAAAAACTCTAGCAGAGAAGATACCCAAAGATTATAACTCTGCTAAATGTTTACTAGATCAAAGATTAGCTTGTAAAATTAGGTGTAATTAAAAAAAAACAAAAAACAAAAATCCTGATTAATTCAATTTCGGCCACCAAAAATCTCAGTTCTTGGTGATTATGATCCACTTTCAAATATTCAAAAGACCCAATGAGTTTTCACTCACTACACAGATCAGATTCGAACAGATGAATCATCAGATGGAGTCAAAGAAAACAAACTCGAAATTGAGATGCAGAAAACGATTTTTTTTTGGGGGGTTAACCTGTTTTCCTGACTGAATAACGACGTAAGGATCGCTGCTTGAGATATCTCTAATGGCGAGATTCACACCTCTCTTCACATGAATTCTGAGAAGACCCAATAGATTCTCCATTGTTTCTTGAATTTCTTTTTTTCTTTTTCTGGTGAGATTGTAAATGGCAAAAATGGTTTTGGAGTGGGTACGAAACTGTGGACTTGGGAATATAGAAAGGTGTATCTCTGATGAGGTTTTTGTATTTAATTTTTATAGAGAAGATCAGACCGAAGAAGTCCTCGCGTGCTTTTAATATAGACGTATTTATTATATTTGTTATTTCTTTCCCTATTTTGGAGTCAAATATATTATTATTATATTATTTTTACCTCGAGCCACCTCTGTCTTTTTTGAAGGCAAATAAATTAATACAAATGACAGTTGACTGCAAAAATGTTTTCCTCTTCTCTTTCGAGTGTGTACGAAACTGTGTTTTTTTGTAATTTGGACAGCTCCGAAGAAAGAGAATTATTTTACAACTATTATTCTACCGCTCGAGCCACTTGTGTCTTTTTCCTATGAGTATAAGACAGAATATTATCAGATCAATAACCATTAATCTTAGTATTTATTATATTTAATGTATTATATGTCTCTATAACATTACTAAAATTGTTGTAATTATCATAAATGATTAAATGTCATTCGTCAAATATACTCCTTTTTGCCTTCTATTTCTTTTTTCGTTTTCAACCTTTCCAAAAGTAACACCCTTTTAATTATTTCTTTTGTTAAAATTTTTTAATTTATTTGTGAGATAAAAGTCATTTAATAAAGGGATTAACTTTTAAAAAAAGAATACAAAAACATATTTTCAGGCCCCTCACAGTAATTGTTTAGAATTTGTTTTGGTTATTTCACATTGTATGTTAAAATTGTTTTTTTTCTAATAATTTACATTGAAAATTTTGTTAAAAGAAGTTTTTTTTAATCACGTTTCTCTTACATCATAAAATTAACTTAAAAATATAACATACTATTTGTAAAATATGATTAACTTGTAATATATTTTATCTTAGAACTCATAATGCATATTATCAAAGTTTGAATTTGTTCTAAAAATCGTTTATAAAGAATTGTTTGATGAAAATTAGAGAACTTGAAGTATTTGAGAATTTTTTTGACGAAATTAAATATATATCTATTATCAAACAGTGTGTAATGTATGAATTTACATCTAATAAATAATGCAAATATAATAATAACAAAAACTACTAGGCTACTTGATCAATTGTTTACGGGTATTTGACCTACTAATTATTCAAAAAAATTATTTGTAGTATTTGATTGACCAAGAGACTCAATTATTTCGTCTTGGTGAATGGTGATGAAGCTAATTACAAAGTTATTCAATTACGGCACCTGCCACGCCAAATTAGAGTTGGAGCCTTATTTTTTGCAGATGACTTAGATCAGTTACGTCACGGTCAATTTCTTTTGTGTTTTTCTTCAACGACTTTTTTTTTCAACACATTATTCTTTTAAAACAGTTTAGAAATTTAAATTGGTGTAGTTAAATTTACATAATATAAAAATTAAAAGTAGTTGCGAATTTTCCATGTCAGCTTATCCGTTTTTATGTTTTGAACATGTAGGATGTGCAAGATTGAGAAGGAAGTAAATTTCTTCTTACTGATCTCAAATTTCTTCAAGTGCAGAGCAAAGCCAGCCATTCTTCGGGTTTTGAAACCATCTTTATCAACTCGGACAGCATGCTGTACATCACTCATATTAGGGAAGAAAAGGTTTCGTTGTACATTCTTGGCCCCTATCAACGATGTTTAGCTTGTTAAACCTGGACAATACTATCCTAACCTAGCATTATCTATTGTTTTCTTCCATAATTCATCCATTTGACATGTCAAGCCATCATTAACCATCATCGTAGTGTCTAGACAATCTAAATAAGCGCCCTAATTAATTATGCTATCACATAGAACATCATCCGGTTGAGCTAAAAAACTAAGCTGCCAATTCTGTTTGTGCTGTTTTTAAAATTTTTTTAGGATCTTTGTCAATGTTTGCGTAATTTTATTATTTCTTGTTTTTCAGATATACCAAAGTAATCATGAAAATACTTTCATATTTTTCGAGTTTAATAATTGCAAAAAAGATGAGCAATATTCATATACAATGTTACCGTTGGAAATCCCATTAATGATGTCAATATTACCGAAAGTGCATATACTTAAAATGCTGGTAACCTTCAAATATTGTGTGATTAATGGTTTCTCTCTCCATTCCATATCTACCACATTTGTGGATCATAATTCATTCCTCGTTTGTTTAACCTATCAAAGATCGAAATATAGCCGAAAAGAAATTACCAGAAAAAATATTTCATTTTAGATTAAAAAATAATTTACATCACACCATTCATACATGAAATTTTCTTATTTGAGTTTACAATTTTTGGAGTTTATTTTTTTTAAAAAAATGTATTCTAAGGATTTCAAAACTCATACTATTTAATTTGGCCTAACAGCATTTTTTGAAGATCAGTTTTTGGTTAATTTCGAATGATATTTTTTTGTTTTTTTTTTGTTTTTGGTACTATTATTTTCATTTTATGAGTCTCGTATCAGTGAGCTTCTCTTCTTAGGTGAGGTTGAATTTATTATGGACAGTTAAGAAAGCAGATGTCATTATAGTAAAACACATGTAATGTTTGTTAAATAACATGTTACCAATTTCTCATATTACTTTTTTCTTTTGGGTTCGAACTCCTAATGCTTATTTTATATATCACTTTTAACTTGCAGTACTATTACAAAAGATGATGCTATTTCAGAAGACAATAATTGTAATATTATCAAATATGCTTATTTTTTTGGTACAGTTTCATCAAATATCATGGTGTATATATTTTTATTTTATCATAAAATCACAGCTTGTTTTTACATAACATAAAAGTTATTCTAGAAAACAACACAATATATATATATATATATATATATATATATATGTAAGAGTAGATATTGTCTGGCACTCTGGCCCGTCGGACTTAATTTCGCTTTCATGGTTTAGTTTTGGACCTTTTGGTACACTCATATAATCCAGTTTGGTTAACTAAATCTTTTAATGAATTTAGCAATGGATGTTAACTATAATCCTGCAATCGCCAAAATTCCTACATAAATTATAGACACCGTGCACATCAATTAAATTGATACGTTTTTCACCGACCTACTTGTCTTACTATTTCTTCAAAACACATGTTATTTACACGAACTCCACAGAATTATTGTATTTTATTAATTGTTGTTATTGTATTCCTAAGATTGATCTTAAGTTCTTAACCACGTTCCTGTGTTATATGACTCACTTCATTTTTTCAGCTGTACTTCAATGGCTCATAAAGGAGTGAATTGATATTTTCTACATTTAGATTTTAGTCATTAACGACAAAAAAAAAAGATTTTAGTCATTAATTTTCTAAAGAAAAACAGGACCATGGTTATTTACTCATTTGCCTAATTTCCACCCATAATTTGGTTATACACCTAATTAACACACGCTAATATATTTTTTGACTTTGTCAACGGGTTAAATATTTTCTAAATCTCATAGGCCGTTATTGACTTTTGCGTGGGAGGAGAATAGATAAACATCGATGCTTTCACTATATTCTCTATCACATTAATTGTATAAAATGATATATATTAAAGAATTTTCTAGTGGTGGAATAGCTTCACAAGTTATTCCACTAATCTCTCTGCATTACCACAGCTAATGCACCCACATTTGAGCCAACAAGCCAATGGAATTAGATTCTCCAAATATTCTATATGTACATATACAATAAACTAGCTAGTTACCAATAACCATCAATATATTAACAGATTTAGACTCACTTTGGTGGTTCTACAGATATCAACTTGATTAACCGCATGAAACGAAATTTCATGGTTCTTGATATAAATTTTCTCTAACTTATTTTGTCGGGACTTATATATGAATGAAGCATATTATAGGTTCTTCTCAATAGTCTCTCAATGGATGAAACTCCTAACACGTACCTCTCATGCCCTTCTTTTTTGCCTCTATAAATTGCAACCATTGAGCATGTGAACGTTCATGCAAAGAAGAAGGAGATGAAAGAAATTGGGAATGTAAAAGGAGTGATGAATAAAAAGCTGTTGGTGAGTGTGAGTGTTCTTGGAAGTGTTGGTCCTATAAGGTTTTTGGTTAATAAAGACGACAAAGTTTCAAGCGTTATTAACACAGCTTTGAAAGCCTATGCTCGTCAAGGCAGGATCCCGGTTCTAGGGCTCGATGCCGATAGCTTCGCTTTCTACTCCATTAATGCCGGATTCAACAGTATTTTACATAGAACTCTCTTCACCACTCTTACTTGTTCTCTTCGATTATTGATTAGTTTAAACTTTAGTCTGGAAATTATAACATGAAGTACTGTTTTCATACTTGAACATTGTATGTTAGAATTATAGTATTAAGTTCTTATCGAGGTAATTTGGTTTAATTTTTTATGTATCATTGTTTTGGTGTTAGCTTTGAATCCACAAGAGAAGATAGGTTCAATGGATGTAACAAATTTCTTGATGTGCAAGAAAGAACCAAAGAGCCAAAAAATCGAAGGAAGAAGAGAGAATAAACCTCGGGCAGGCCATGGATGGAAAACTCGTCTTCTTCGGTCCTTCTTAGGATAATTTATATCCAAACACAAATCTAACTCTATATAGATTATAAGGACTATATTACAATGTCAATAATAAAATAACGACGCTCATTGTATCCTCGAAGGTATAAGGAAATATACACCCCCAAAAAGTATGTATGATCTAAGAAACTTAATTTTTACATGGTATCTTAAAATTTGAATCATTCTTTGTTTCCTTCGAGGATTCAGTATAGTATAAGAGAGCTTTGGAAAAACTTGTATCTTATTCGCTTTGAGCACATGTCTTATATACACGATTAAAGATAACCCTAAGTTTAACTGAACACACTTTAATCGTTATCCTATGAGGAATATACATGAAGAGGATATATAGATCGTTACACTATCCTTCAAGTTGGAGTTTGTGCATCTACTAGTTGTTTGTTCAATATTTACTGCTCTATTTGTTTTGGGATACCTACTGAAAGTAAAAAAATTGGGAAATGAATCAAGGAACAAGCTCGGAAAGAAAGAAAAGAGCTGGATAAAATGTTGGAAGAAAATAGTAGGAGAGGGTTGAAGAATCACAGAGGAGAGAAGCAATGGAGCTTCAACGTAAAGAAGAGGAAAGGCATAGAGAATTGGAGCTGATACAGAGACAGAAAGAGGAGGCTGCAAGGATAAAAAAACTGGAAGAAGAAGAAGAAGAAGAGATTAGAAATTCCAGCAAGATGAAGGCCAAAGCTGAAGAAGCTGCATTTCGGCATGGGTTTATATTTTAAAAAGAAACATTGATGAAGGCCAAAGCTGAAGAAGCTTTTGCTTTGTATGAGAAAATAGGAAGACACAGTTTACTCATCCAAGCAAGTTTGTACAACTAACAGTACCTACCCGACCCTTCTTGGAGTTTGTTGTTTCACTATGTGGATTATGAAAAAAAAATCAAAATCCAGTTGGATTAAGTTTAGAACTTTTCTGTTTGGTGTGGTGCAATGAGGTGTTTCTGCAGTAAATCTTAGGAAAAGGGCATGCTTAGTGAAGCTGATTTTGTCATTTGATTTTTCAGATAGTAAACTTCGTTTAGTATAAACTAGGTGGTGGCCGCGCATGGCGCAGACAATGAATATTTATTAGTTTGTTTATCAACACATTTAAAAGAGAAATTTAGCTATGAGAAATCATAGAAGTTTAAAATAAGTGATCATATAAGCAACATATTTCATGTCATCATATGTTTCTAAAATAGCACTATTGACTATACGATGATATCACTTTAAACATAAAGAAGAAATTAAGACAAATGATATTATAAGAGTTGCACAAATCAAATCCCTACTAATCGTCGATATCCAAATGGTTTTCTTCTTCGTCTGCATCCTCTTGTTCACTATCTCCAATCCTATTCAAGCATATACAAACAGATTAGTTACGACAACAGTTGATCATTATCGTACATTTTAAATAATATTTATTTTAAAAATATAGTTATCTTATAGCATATCCTGTAACTAAAGTGCCTCTTGAAGATCAGGATTGAACAAAACCCTCGAGATGCCGGCTTGATCAGAAACATGATATTCATCTACAAAAAAGTATTGACATGGTTAGAGATCATTAAAGATCACAATTTTCTAAAGTATTAAATAAATAAACTTGAGATGGTTAGAGATCATTGGTACCATTGCGTATACCGACTCGCCAGTCACTTAGAACACAAATGACCAACTGTTGTTCATTACAACAACACCATATGTCGTTGAACTCAATAGCTAATTTTCCATGTGCATAACATGTTATCATTCGTTCACTAAAACAATATTAGATTGAGTTGTTCCACACAATAAATCTAAGTAGATTTATTACAAAAAACTTAATAAACACTTACGTTTCATCTATCAATGTAAACTCAATCAAAAACTTCAAACAAACGATCTCTAACCACCTCAAGTTCGCCAACCAATTCAACAGCACCAACTAAATCTGTAAGTATTATTTCAGAAAAAAACATCTTTAAAATAGAATTGTCGATCTAAAATTATGATGAGTAATATTGAGGAAGACTCACCAACAGGACAATTTCGTTGAAAGTTGCCAAGATAGAGATTCTCGTAACTAAGAATATGCATATGTGGATAGTCTCCATTGTAGAAATCTCTAGTTGTGAAATCTTCCAAGATTCGAGTGTTAGATTGAAACTCAATCTTCAAACAATTCTTTGTCATTTGTCTCGCAGATACTACATTGAAATTTCGTATTCTTTTCCATATGCCCCCCTCATGGAGCCTCTTTAAAAAAAAAGAATCATTTCTTCACTTCCTACTGTTGCTTGAATTTTCGAACCCTATAACATATACAATTTTGTTTTTACAAATAAAAAACCCAAATTGAAATAAACAAAAGCAAGTGAAAATCTAGCAAAAGGAATTACCTGGTCATCAAGGAGAATGAAATGAAGAACATCGCCACCATCTGGTATTAATTCAACCCATCTTTTATAAACCATTACTCTTATAGTCCAATCAGTTCTTGAAGAACCCAACTCACTAATTCTAGAGATACCGGCCATTATAAGTTTCAGAAAACAGACAAAATTTGATTAAAGATATTTTTTCTCTGTATATATCGAAAATATTATAGTCTGTTATGCTACGAACTGACTGTGCCCATTGCTTCTTTATAGTAGAGACTCGAAAAGAAGTTGGATAACGAAAAGCTACATTGTCAAAATTCGAATCGTTGTGCATGTATAAAATAAATGAAAAGAATCAAACGGTTTAGATTTTTTGTTATTCTTGACAGTTCGCAATCTTCAAGACATGTTTTAGTCATTAAAATTCAGAAATTTAAATAGTAACGTTTCATCTAATATTGATTTTTAGAACTTGAAAATTCTTTGCCACCAGGCCTACCGTTCTTGCTTGATTTTTAGAAAAGACAGAGTCCAAACGGCTTTTTTTTATTACTGGACTGTTGTAGTTGTTACGAATTTTAGTTGGTCCAAACCGTAACTGCTATATTGCTTATTTCCAACTCAATCAAGTAAAATTAATAAATAAGCTAATAAATTGTTTCATGCGTTAAAATTCAAATATAATATTTGGGAATAGACTTTACCATTTCCACTTCTTTTGTTCAAATTTAGAAGCAAGCAAAAGAAACATAATAACTCCACCAAGAAAAACACACTCAAACTAACATAAAGTAAAGCCATTCTTTTCCACGAGTCATAGATTCTCTGTCTATGGATATCTCGAAACACATCTTGCAGTAGAAACCTCTTCATCACATTGTATCCTGCAATTAGCTCCATTATATTACTAAAGATACATTAGGTAATCTAATTAAAATTTCTGAATATAGTAATATTACCTATCACGAAACTGATGAACATCCAGAATGTCTTCATTGAAAATAAATTCACAATACTTCTTTCGTGCGATGACATTATACCTATTACAAAGATTTAATACAGTAATTCACAGGAGAGTACTCTATTGTAATAAGTGAACAATACCAATTGTATGTAATAAGGCAATACCGTCATAATTTTTATTGATAATCCACCACCTCAGGATACAGATAACTTCTATATTGTGACTTTGTTTCCATTGCAATGCAAAATCTTCAGCCAATTTCCCCATCGCATAACACTCGATCACACATTTTCTAGACAATAAAATGTTCAAACAATGAGATACATTGTTATTGTTCAGGCTGAATATTCAATTTATTTACCTGTCATCTTGAAGCTCCAAAGGGATTACAGCGTAATCTTCTTGTATCTTCGTCTCATCAAAAATCTCGAGCTCACCAACATTCACAAGAACACCTATCAATTGTGTAGAAATTAGGTAGTCAAATTTCAGTAACTCTTTCTCACCGTTTATCGTAATCGGCTCTATTATTTATAAATGAAGAAGTTACCGATACTATACGTGTCATCCAGATGGCCTCCAAGAACATCTCCAAAATCAGCGGATGATAAATACAGAGAATTTATACGTTCGCTGACCGTAAGAAACGTCGTATTGGTAACGAACTTCACCTTAAAAGGATGCCTTACTACACGAGTTATAACATTCAAAGTCTTAACTACAAAACCTTTCAAAAGACTCCAATGACCTATTATAAGGTCATGTTCAAATAAATGGATGTATTTATGTCCAATGGAAGCTTATATCTTAGACCCCTGAATAATCATGCAAGATTCAAACAGGACATGAATAAACCGTATAAGATATAAAAAGAAGCAACATTTAATTACAGATTTGATCAATAAACTTACATGAGTATCAACAAAGATCAGCTTTAATTTATTTCAGCGATGTCTATCTTTCTCATGCCATTTCTTGAGCAACATAACATCAAGAGCAGGATCGACAACCAAATGATCTATTTCAGAGACTTTTAAGAACCGCAACATCTTAAAACATCTATGAGAATCAAAAATACTGAAGAAAACAAAGTAATTTTACGACGGAGGACTATGACAAGTCACTTTATCAGTAAATAAGTTAAGAGAGGGGAAACAGTTTTTAGCATAGACATTGAGTATATCGACCATTATAATATTATTATTTAGATATATTGTGTTTGTAACATCAATTGTATATAAATTGCAAAAACCGAGGTAAATGTTGGGAACATATAATAAGCTTTAAAATGTACAACATTATGAATACTGATATGTCAGCAAAAATTTAACTTTATATTACCGATAAATCATAAAAAATTGTTCTCCTATAACAGCCATTTATATAACCAAAGCGTATATTTATGTAAAGTAAGCCCAAAAAATTTATGAAATTTGTGTATCCAGCCCAAATAACGTAAATAAAGGAATTCAACTATCATGTCCTTATATAAGTACCACTAAATACTTCACGGCTTTCAGAAAGCAGAACCCTAACTCAGAGTATACCGAATGACAATTCTACCAATCCACTTACCTAAGCCGAATATGGCTAAAACAAAACTCAAAAGCTGGATGGACGCTAATCGTGAGAATTACGAAGCGATTCATTATCTCTACACAGCGTTTCCAAACAAGTGGGTTTGGCATCAAAGGATTAGAAAGTGGCTCCCTCCTAAACGCGACAGAAGAAACAATGTTCCTTATGATATACAACTTCCAGATGTCCCTGAAGAATGTGGTGAACTTTTCTACCTTGAAACACTGCTACAAGTATGAAGAGGACCAACATGCTTCAAAGATATCAGAACAGTAGACGGTGTTACATACCCAACGTTTGCGAAAGCATGTATTGCATTAGGATTAATAGAAGCTTCCGACGCATGAGAGAAGAAAGATAAACCTACCTATATTATGTTTAGGGTTTTACTGGATTTTTGATTATCTATTATCTCGATGCTTTTACTTAATACTTAAGATAATTATAAGTTATGGTTTTCCATATTTTGGTTTTATTTATTCGATAAATAATAATATATTGAACTAAAAATCTTTAATTTACTAACGTCTTATTATCCGAATACATTTGACAAAGTTTACAATATTCATTTTAATTTCTGCAAATATATTAATCTTATTATTTTATAAAACATTCATAATTTAAGATTATTATATTTACTCGAACAACATGTAAATTATCTTAAGCTGGTAATACATTTTTATAATAGTTATTCTTTTTTATAAATAACATGTAATTTGAAATTTTATTATCACATGTACGACTTGTATATTATGTTATAACATTCGTGTTTAAATGATACTGATGTATAAACGTAAAAATGATTATTACTTCAATATATTTATTAAGAACAAATACCGAAACATAGTTAAAAAAATTATAACTTAAAGCATAATAACATCTTGAAAAAAAAAATACCCAAACCTAGAT